CGCGAGCCGACCTGCTGGAATCCCATCGGGAGGATTGCCGAGGCGTGGGAGAGACGGCCATCTGAAAAGACATGTCTGACGAAAAGAAAAACACGCTAAAATTCTTCAACCACAAACATCAAATGCCTGTGACCTATGTCATCTATGCCGACTTCGAAGCCCTCATCAAAACCGTCATCAAAACCATGGACACTGTCGCGCCATCATCCCTGTAAAAAAGTTTCACGCATAAAACGCAAGAACACAAAGCATGCGGGTTCGGTTACGTGGTCGTTCGATTTGACGGGGAAACGAACGCTCCCTCGGTCTACCGAGGTCCCGACGCGGCCGAACGATTTCTCACGTGTTTGCAAAACAAAGAGAAAATCATCAGGAAACAGTTGTACACCATCGTCCTAAGCTAAGAATTGCCACGTGTACGTCGAACCCCTGAACGGGGATGTCGTGAGATCACTGCCACATCACCGGTAAGTACAGAGGTGCCGCTCACAACACGTGCAACTTGAAGGTCAAAATCGATCCCAAGACCATCAAAATTCCAGTCGTGTTTCACAATCTTTGCGGTTACGATTCTCACCTGATCATGCAGGCCATTGCGAAGGTCGACGGCAACATAACGTGCATCCCCCAAAACATGAAAAAATACATTTCGCTCTCGTTAGACGATCTGAGATTTATCGATAGCGTTCAGTTCCTGCTGTCGTCTCTAGACAGTCTGGTGAACGCCAACGACCCAGACGACTTCGACATCACCAATCGATTCACCGATGCAGAGTCTCGACCCCTGCTGCTGAGGAAGGGCATCTACCCCTACGAGTACATGGACAATTGGTCTAAGTTCGACGAGACGCGATTACCTGCCATCGACTGCTTTTACAGCAACTTGACCGATTCCAATATCTCTCAGGACGATTATGCGCACGCGATTAACGTGTGGGACAAACTGGGCTGCAAGAATTTGGGCGATTACCACGACCTGTACTTGAAAACAGACGTGCTGCTGCTGTGGTATTTCTCCTCCCCTTGGGACGCCAACAACCTGTACGGCTGGGCCATGAGTCAGTATCTCGCCACCGGGGGATTCGAAAGGGTCTCCTCGCCCGAGATGATTGACTTGAATAGCATCGCGCCGGATTCGAACAAAGGCTATGTGCTCGAAGTGGACTTGGACTACTGTAAACGTACTTATTTTCGCGTGGTGCAGTTTTCGCGGAATTGACAGTTTAGACTACATCGCGCGGTCAATTATTCGCGTCAATCAGTAATTGCCGGAACTGCCAGCTGTCTCTTTGACCGCCACTAATAGCAGTGAAAACAAACAGAGTGGCTTAACCTGTCAGGCGGCGTTTATTGCTTACTCACAGGAAATCCCTATCTGTGCGATATACTAGTACACAGTAATCCGTTTACTCCCGGAAGAGATGAAAAACACATCAGTCTTATGTTCCGAATTCTGACGATTTGACGAATTAACTTATACTGTATATGAAGCTCTTTGTGATTTCAAACAAGCCGGGTTGTTGTGAATGAGATGATTGAGTGTTAGTGACTATTCGCTTCATGATGTACTGGTGAATAAAATCTTAATGAATAAATGAAATACTGCTGTATTATTTCTTTCCGAGTCGTTTCACGGTAATCTGTTTTGTATCAAACCATCTGTCATGTGACCAATTTCCATGGCGGCCACAACACACATTGCTGTTTTCGCTAATTCGGCAATGGGATTTGGCTCATTATTTAATTATGTTTTGGGAAATCCATTACAGCGACAGTTAAGTATGATCAGTCGTCATTTTAAGATTCCCGTTGATTTCTGTCTTCAAACGTGATGTGTTATGGTAACAACTCAGGGGCGAGCATGGCTAGACTGAATGAATGACAGGTTTATTTGCGGTGTATAAATTTTCGCTAAAATGTTTTGCGCGAAAAGCCCGAAAATAAAACCTGCGCAAAATATAATACGTTAACAGTATCCCGCAGAACTACACGAATCGCACCACAGCTATCCGCTAGCTCCCAAACGATTGACGGTGAACCCAGACTGGATGTCTGAATATCAACGAAACTTGCTGGGAGACAATAAGCTGGCTAACGTTAGAAAAACTTGTGCCGAACTTGATGAACAAGACAAAATACATCGTTCACTATCGTAACCTGACTTCAGATTCAACTGTCCCGTTTACATGAGGATGAGCATCCTCGACTTGAGACTTGATGTACGATTTCTACTACGAGCTGAAAAAGCAGTACGGCGAAAGGTGCGAAGTGCTGTACACGGACACGGATTCCCTGCTGATGGAAATTCACACCGAGGACGTGTACGAGGACATTAAGAAACACATGCACCTGTACAACACCAGCGACTACCCTAAAGATCACCCTATGCACAGCCAAGTAAAAAAAATGTGCTCGGCAAGATGAAGGACAAATGCGCATGCACACCGATAGTCGAGTACGTCGGCTTGAGACCCAAGATGTATTCCATCAAGAAAGCCGACTACGAAGAAATCTGAAAGGCGTGAAAAAAACACCTGGTGAAAATGCACATCAAGCACGCCAGATTCAAGGAAGCCCTGTTCAGGAATAAAATGTTCAAACACCAAATGAACATGCTGAGAAGCGACGGACACAGGATATACGGACTGAGAATCAACAAGACCTCGCTGTCTCTCATGGACACGAAACGATGGATCGCCATCGACGGAGTGACCACTTAAGCGTACGGACACAAATGTGTATCGAATAATTGAACGCTTACGCACATGTTTTCATATATCATGGAGAAAATTTATTACAGTACATTACAGTATCCCGAGAAGAAAATTCGACATTTCAACGCCGAATTGCTTTCACCAAGCCGACCTCCTGTTTTTCCCTCACGACAGGGTGAGGCGTAAAACCTACAATTACGCCCTGACAGTCGTCGATGTCGCCAGTCGCTACAATGAAGCCGAACCGTTGACAACCAAAGATTCGGACGAAGTCGCCAAAGCCTTAGAACACATATACAAACGCAGTCGCTTGACCTGGCCTGCCGTATTGCAAATCGATCCCGGACGTGAGTTCATGGGAGCCGTGTCACAACTGCTGGCCAAGCATAAAGTCCAGGTGAGACAAGGTGTGGCGATAGCTCACCGAAGCCAAGCCATAGTCGAGAGATTCAATCGCACCTTAGCCGAACGTCTGTTCTCACATCAGTACTTGCAGGATTTAATGGATCCCAAACACAGAAACACGGTATTCGTACGCTTACCGCGCGAGTGGTGGATGCCATCAACAACGAAGTCACCAGACTCGTGGACAAGAGACCCATCAAAATGAAATCTGTTGAAGCGATGGCGGCAGCGGCACGTCGCGATAAAACAGAGAAAAAATTACCGGACCGGGTCAGTGTTAGGTACTTATACCAGCCGGGCGAATACGAGGGAGACAGCAGAAAACGCGCCACCGATCCGATATGGTCCATGAAAATGTACAACATCGACCTGGTCGACATCAAAGACGGCAACCGAACTTGTACTACTTGAAAGACGGGCCGCCGAGAGCATTCTTCAGAGAGGAGTTGATGATCGTACCTCATGACACAGTCCCTTACACATCACCCACCATGTGATGATAGTTTCACGTTATGATTTTTTTATCAGTCTTGCATGCCTATTTTTCTGCTTAATGTAGCCAGCCAGCCAGCCAGCCACCCGTACATCAAGCCGAGAGAGACCTGACACGCACTCGCACTGCGACTCGTCCGCCCACAGCGCTCGGAGGTGCAACCAACCCCGAGGCGACCCGAGCCTTTTTCCGACTGACCCCATGTTCACTTAAAAGTCAATATTTCAAAAACTATTTGACCGATTTTCATCAAATTTTGCATGCACCTCAGTAGTAGTATACACAATGGGGCCACGGGATTAGGGACTTCCCAAGGACTCAGTTTTGGGGGGACCTGGTCCCGTAACCCCATTGTGTATACTACTCATTATATCCAGTTTGGTATTATAACGAGGGTATTATATAGGCAGGAAATCCGTTCTGGCAAAAGCGTGGCATTATAACCAGGGGCATTATAGCCAGTCTGCTCTGTAGTTCCTTTTGATACTTTGGGATTGTTTTTTAGTGTGCATGGCAACAATTTTCAGATTGCAGATTGTGAAAACCGTACAATATTGTTTTGCCAAAATTGGTAAACAGATAGGTAGAGTGGTATCTTTTGTAAGCTGTGCCTGTTTTTTCCAATGAAAACCGTCTGTCCATAAGTCACATTTTGTTTCGAGATCTGAACTAAAAAAAATATATCAGAAAGGAAAGAGATGTCTTTACAGAACTTGTACTGAATGGTCTCAACTAAGTAATTTCTCTGAAATCACAATGACCTCTTCTATTCTGGAAGTCACAGGTAGCAATAGTGATGAAACAAACAAAAAAAGCACTAATAATTTATTTCTCAACATACTTTATGGAATAACATTGTTTTGTTATTTGAATTTCTGTGTCTTATCAGTTATCAGTTCCTGTCAGTAAATAATACAAACTGAAAGTAGATATTTCTCCACCCTAACGTTTGATATTGCTGAACTCGACCTTCTTTGGGGTTACTCATCACTTCCATCAGTCTAAGGCGTGACTGCAGACAAGTCAGAACTGTATGATGTATTTTCGAAATTTTTTCATCTGTCAGTTTCATGATTTCTCAGCATTTGACTTCTTAGCTTATAGTTTTAATAATGGATTTGATTTTTCATGTAAAAAATGAAAGGACAGCTTAGAAGATCTATTTAATGACAAGGAAATACAGACACAAATAAAACAATGTAAAGATTTACTGCACTTTGTTTATTGACCTCTCTATGACAGGGTCTTGAACTTTGTTGAGAATTCAGTGACCTGTCTAAAAAGTAAATACCTTATTCTGAATTTCCTGTGTGTCAAGTAGTGCTACTGAGATTTTGATTTGTGGTTGAGGTTTGGAGTATAAACTGAATGTAATTCCATATTTCCAGCGTGTCCATCCTTCGTATCCCTGGAGATAAGTCACGATGGAATGACTGTGACCCCAATGTGCCCACCACTTATGACGTCTAGCCTGGCGGTGATCAAACTTCAACTACAGAAGCTAGAAGTGACTTCCTCCGTCACTATCCGACTCCACAAAGCTCGAGATTCTATGACCATTGGACTTTCTCAAATTCTTCTTATGGGCTACAGTGCTTTCAGAGATACTGGTGCTAAACCTGGTGCATCCTTTTCAGCTGAAGATTCAGTCTCTCACTCCAGGTAAGGATGAAAGTATTGATGTGCTTTCTTCAAGCGTGTAAACTGATGCTCATCCGACATATTTGGTACTTAGACTGTTTTGTGGCATGTGTTAGTAGATGCATGTAAACAAATTTTTATCACTTTCCTTCAGTTGCTGGTAACCTGGCATACAAATGTGGATTTTTCTTTTTAACCATTAAACTCAATTATGATTATTATATTTCCAAATCCTGACTGCTTATTATCCCCCGCCTGGCGTTTAGTGCGAAGCGGGGAATATAGAATTAGGCTCCGTCCGTCCGTATGTATGAATTGGAATATCTTAAGAACCGTTGACTAGATTCTTTTCATATTTGGTACCTATGTTCATCACAGTATGCGAAAGGTCACAGTCAGGTGTGGTGACCTTGACGTATATTTCAAGGTTACAAGGGAACTTTAACATTTTACCCTTCATATTTGACACCAAGCTTCGTGAACCTGCATGTTCACCTTGTCAGCAAGACATCTCACAAATGATTCACTGTCTTTTCTTCATATTTGACACAAAGCATCATCTTGGGAAGGTGCAGGTTGATTGGTCATGATTTTGTTGACATTTAACTTCATCTTAAGCTACAACCATCACTTTCATTACTTTTTAAGTTTGATTTGATTATTTGCGGCGGGGGATTATGTCACCTTAATGACAATGCTTGTCTAAGATTTCAATAGGTACTTGCATCGATATGTTTGTTTACTTTTTTATACTTATTATGTGTTTTTTTTAGTTTTTAGTCATGTCTGATCTTTGTGGTGTCTTCATAGCAGTGTGATGGTTTTGGGTGGTGTTTGTCACCTTATTTAGAGTGAAATGGGACATCACTATGCCAGCTCGGGAGGAGTTTGGTGGACATGTCACTATTGCTACAATATTTCCGATTATCACAGTGGTGACGTGTTCAATTGTCACAATGATCTGCATTTCTCGTCTCTGTCAATGCAACCTAATGGACAATTTTCACAACAGTGGTAGCTCTGATCCTTGAAGATGGATCATTGGTAAGCTGATACTCTTGGAATTTCTTCAAAGCCTTGCTGTGTGTAAAAGTTCATTCCCATCTGGAACCCACTGCCTTATGACAGTTCAGTTCTCTAAGGCAGTTTTGATAAAGAGAAACCTCTCTTTGCTTGTGTCAGTATGTCATGCATTTGTCACAGAAAAGATCATTACTTCAGGCCTTGAAGGTCCAAAGACATTCACAGTTCTTCCACCAGCTCAGCTCCTTTGACATGCCCCAAAGCTCAGACAAATATCAGTCTAAGTAAACTTAGGCTGAGCATTATTCGTTAGACTGCTATACCAAGTCAAACGAACCCTAGTAGAAGGTCGCATCAGCTAACCTTTTAGCGACCTAAGACCGTCCAGTCAAACGCGAGAATGCCAAACAGATTTAACCAGCAGACAACAGCTACTATTTAGGGTTTGGCGGGACTTACAAAATGGCAACAAAAGAAAATTCACAAAAAACACAGATATTTGACCTGCAGTATATACACTTAGGGGTTTCTGTTGACATGGTTACTATTAGCTTATAATTCCACAAGATGACATCATGACAGGGCTCCAGATAAATTTTCAACATCAGGAGTACGTACTCCTTACTGTTTCAATGCAGGAGTACTGGAAAATCTTAAGAGTACATTTAGAGTACTTAATGGAATTTAATGGAGTATCACTAATCTTGTGTTTCGTTTCATATATGCACCACAACATTGGTACTCTTGTGTAAACAGGTCAATATACTATAAAACAATACTTTTTTTTCAGATAAATATGATTCTAAGACCATACACCATTGCTGTAGTGCGTATCTGCTACGTTTTCTAAATTATTTCCTACCATATCGTGCACATTTTGTATCCGTACATATGCTGATACGGCCCTTATCTGGAGCCCTGTCATGGAATATTGACAAAAACGCCATTTTCAGCGACTGTTTACTCGCTGTTGTGAATAATGGTGTCCTCCATGTGTATCACTCAGAGGCGATCGTGCGGAAAATAGCATTTGGAACCGTTCGAGTAGAAATGTTTTCGAGGTAAAAGTTCAAACGGTATGTGTGAATGTTAACTTTCATGATATGGTAAGCTATGTTCTGATTGGTCAGTTCAAAGGTTAGCTGATGCGACCTTTCACTTAACACTTTGTCACTGTTATTTATGGTTATTTTCCTTTTATTTTGTGTTGGGCCACAGTTTCAGTAAGAAAGGCTTCAAATGTGAGAGGTAGTATTCTAAGAATTTTTATCATTATTGATAATGTTCAATATTGCCGCCCACCTCCCTAAATCAGAATGAGATATAAACATTTGTGTCTGCTTTCCCACTAATGCTTTTGATGCAGACATCATCAAAGGGTGTTTTGGGCAGTTGAACTTCATTATCACCAACTTCTGTTTGCTAACCTCCAACTATGCCTGCAATGTTGGCCCAACCCTTTGCTGGTCCTTTTGCTTCTACATTCAGTGAACAGAAATAGCATGGATCAGTAGTGGATACATGTACGAACTTTCCCACTTGACTGGTGCATTCAGAGACACTACCTTCTATTGCTTGATATCTAGGAAGTGCTGACTGTTGTTGAACATGACCATATTTTCAAAGTGGAAATGAACCCTTAGAAAGCACATAATCCACTTGTGATTAATGATGTAGTGTCCATTATAACCTAATACTCTCAATTATTCATAATGGAAGTGGGTTGTTTTTAGGACAAACAATACTTATTCAAGTAATGTCTGCGGTATCTTTAAGTGAAGGCTATTGTTATTTACTGATTTAGATGGGTCCATGACCATGTTAAGGGAACTGGAATAAACTTATATATTCAGTTGTTTTTGTGTGTTTTTTTAAGTGATTATTCTTATGGACAATGGGTTTATACTTTCAGTTTAGCTGTACTGTCCACCAAACCTGGAATGTTGTTTACTGTACAGGTACTGAAGCCTAGAGCACAGCTTTGCATAGGATAGTACAGTTTATATGTTGATGGCATCCACAATGAAGTCTAGCCCATTATGTTTGGGTAGCTGAGGACATTTGCCATATCCAGACCTGGCCATCATACAGTAGGATACATTGCAATGTTTATTATCAGGATGAAAATTAATTTGCATAAATTATTGTATTTACGATGTTAAGTACTTAGCCTGATACAATAGCCCACTCCTGACCATCTTCTGTCTGAAGATTGGCTATGAGCTGCAGTCAATAGAAAACTGATTGGGGATGTGAGTGGCTTTATGTAGGGTCATGTGATAAACAATTTGAAGGAATTTGCAACATGCCGTAACTGGATGAGTATTTATTGTCATAAATGCTATAATTTATATCCCATAATGAGGACAAATTGCTCACAGTGTGTGACCTTATTGATAGTGTGTCATTGAACCCGATGGCATGGATAGTTTACTCAAGCTCTGGTTTTTCTAGCTCAGAAGTAATGAGGGGCGGTGGGGTAGCCTAGTGGTTAAAGCATTTGATTGTCACGCCGAAGACCCGGGTTCAATTCCCCAAATGGGTACAATGTGTGAAATCCATTTCTGGTGTACCCTGCCGTGATATTGCTGGCATATTGCTAAAAGCGGCATAAAACTGAACTCACTCACTCAAAATTAATTATGTACATCCTACAATGATATCAGTGGGAAGGGCATATGCAATTGGAGTCCCTTTGTCTTTTTTCCTTTTCTCTTCTTCCTTTTCCTTCCTCCTCTCTTGCTCTCTCCTCTCTCCCCCTCTCCATCTTCTTCAAAATGCAAACATGAAAGGTCAGATAGGTACTGGTTTTAGTGTCATGGTGATCTGTGGTGCTCTGTTTAATTGAGCACACTAATTGCACACGGTCATACCAGGCTGAGTATATGGTATGTTTGATTCCTGTTTTTATCATTGTTACAATTGTTGTTTCAATTGTTTTTTCCTTTTCAGCATTGGTTGGATTCGTCTTCTCCACCATTGTCTGACAGCATTTGATGATGTGGAAGACCGTGTTGCTGCGGCAGCAGCCTCTACACCAAATCTTCTGACCACCTGTGCCTCCCTCCTTGTGTCACCTACCGCTATTATCTACACACCTAAGATTGAGGCAGTGCTGCTCAAGATTGGTCTTCACTCTCTACCTATGGGACTTGCTCTCATTGATAACATTTTGAGCAGTCCTCCATTAGCCAGAGGGAACAGTATGTGAAATATGGTTCTTTTTTCAGTTCATTGCTAGCCTCGGTACTGCAGATTTTGGAAGAGTTGAGGGACAGCCTTTGAAAATAAATCTTGTTGGCAGGCTCTCTCTGCCTCATGGTTCACTCAGGGCTTTGATATACAGGACCATGAACCACACATTCCGTAAAGCTCTGTCAAACTGATCATGTGAATGTTGAAACATAAAACTGAACACTTGTTTAATTTCTCTTGCCGAACAAGTGTTTTCTGGGGTGATAATAATGTTATGGGTAGATGATTCTTTTTGACATCAGGTGGTCTGAATAGTATGCAGTGTGCAACAAAGTTAGGGCAGGTACAGATGCTAATGCAGCTTTTTCAATCAAATTTGCTTTATTTGAACCTGGCACAAAACAAAGCTTAGTTGTGGGAGGTGGGTCAAAGGCATCTGTCAAAACAGAATAGAGAAATTAAGAATGAAAGTCCAGGGTTCCTTGTCATAACCCTAATCTTAAGGGTTTCCAAGATTCAACTACCATTGGAGTAACCTCTTCTTAGCCGTGGGGTTGAAAATTCAGAGGTCTGAGATGAAATATATACCACTAGGTACAGGAATGTTTGGTCCAAACTCATTTTATTTATACACGTCATTCATATGGTGCTACATCAGCAAAAGCAAAAGACATGTCTGTCATCGTGATTTTTTAACAATTCTGCTTTAGCTAGATGAGGGCCTCATTCTGACTCATTATTGTCAAAAGGGATTGAGAATGTCATGAAGAAACAAGTGAATATGAAAATTTATTACAATGAAAGAATGATTGCCTGAAGTTATTCTGATGAAAAATCAATTGATGGTTTAATGATATATTAACTCCAGGAAAAAACAAACTTATACCCTTAATTTATCTTTATTTTCATCTAAATCCAGAAATATAAAGATACTTATTGATCATGCCAGCTGACAGATGACTTCCTATATAAAATTTACTGGCTTGGTTGGTTTTGTATTAATATAATAGTGCTAAAGTTATCCCTGCAAATCATATAATATGAACACAAGATTGAAAAAGGTCATCATGTTGCCAGGAAATTGAGAGCTAGCAGAGAAATATATGTAGCATATCCAAATACATACCTAATTTTGTTTCATAGGTTTGGGACCACTTAGCATTTCAAGAATTTGAGAGTTCTTTTGTGTGTTTTTCCAGATGCTCATCCATACCTTGGTAAAGTTAGTGGAGTTGCCAGTGAATCAACTGTGGAATTGCTCTATCAGTTGGGAATGGTGCAGGATTCAGGGACAAAAGCAAGGTATAAAACCACATTCATATGATACAGGAGGTATTCCCTTATAAATAAATATTAACTGTAATCAGGTGTGTAATTTAACCTAATTTTTTTCCCCGCCGCACGTTTAGCACGAAGCGGGGGATATAGTATTAGGCTCCGTTCGTACGTACGAATTGGAATATCTTAAGAACCGTTGACTGGATTCTTTTCATATTTGGTACCTAGGTTCATCACAGTAAAAGAAAGGTCCAAGTCAGGTTTGGTGACCTTGACCTTCATTTCAAGGTCACAAGGGGACTGTAACGTTTTACCCTTGTCAGCGAGATATCTCAAGAACCGTTCACCGTTAATTTTTAAGGTCACGGGACACTTTAAAGATTTCAGCATGTTAACTAGTGTTGGGAATTGGTTAAAATCTCATATTTGATGATTGGTTCATTACAACCGATCAATCATCGAAAATAATTGGTTAGCGTCATTTATCAAATGTTCCTGTTATCTTTGTTAATGCACACACAAAAAATAAAGATAAAACATGTAGTAATTTGGGTTTTTGCAAATTGCACAAAATCCATTCACAAATTTTGCATATTTAAAGGATGATTAGTATGTTAGGAACACAGATTTCCTGGATTCTTTAAGATAAATTCAATCATGACTTGGAACTAGCTTGTAGTGCTTATGAAATGTAAATTTAATGACACAGACAAAACCAGCCTTGTGAAAAATATTGTTAATGCAAAGAAGTGTTCCAAGATTGGTTGTGTTCGATTATGAGAAAACATGTTCGATTGCTTGGTCGTTTAGTCACTGCGACCAATCTTCGATTATTTCAATTCATCGGGCCACCACTAATGTTAACCTGCATGTAAAGATTGTCAGTGAGATATCTCAAGAACCATTCACTGGACTTTCTTCATATTTGACACCAAGCTTCATATGGGGAAGGTGCAAGGTCCAGTCGATTTTGGTGACCTTCACTTAATGTTCAAGGTCACGGCGACACTTTGAAGACTTCAGCATGTTAACCTGCATGTAAAGATTGTCAGCGAGATATCTCAAGAACAGTTCACTGGATTTTCTTAATAGACTTTCAAGACTTCCCTTGAATGATTTTCAATAAGCAATTTCTTTATTACTATTTTTGCATATTTCATACACTAAGACATTCATGTCAAGGTCAAAGTGAGCCTTGAAAATATTTGTGTGTTTGAACAGAGACCATATAATAGATTATCTATTATATGGTCTCTGGTTTGAACAACTACAGAGCAAGATATCAAGAGAGGTTGACTGGTTTGTTTTTGTTTACATTTAACTTCATCTTAAATTACGACCTTCACTTTCATTACTTTTGTTTGATTTGATAATTTGCAGCGGGGGATTATGTCACCTTAGTGACAATGCTTGTTTTTCTTGTATTTGGAATTTTCCAAACAATTAATGTTTTAAAATAACTTATTTTTTCTGAAAAACGTACACCTATCAACCACAAATACCATATTTCCTCAAGGAAGTGCATGGTGTATAATAGACACCAGGCACACAATAAGAATCTGGAATGTCAGGTTTGAGTTATTTCTAAACTTACCCTTTCTCATGTTGTGCGGTCGGTGGGGTAATCTAGTGGTTAAACCGTTCTCTCGTCATGCTGAAGACCCGGGTTCGATTCTCCACATGGGTACAATGTGTGAAGCCCATTACTGGTGTCCCCCACCGTGATATTGCTGGAATATTGCTAAAAGCTGCGTAAAACCATACTCCCTCACTCACTCATGTTGTGCACTTTCCCTTGTTCTTCAACCTTGGAGTGGAAACAGTGATGTGACATAGGCTATGCAAGATCTATCATCAGACAAGGCAAAGGCAAGGCAATTAGATGTACCTTGCTGGACCATATTAGAGTATCACATTCTTACATTCATTTCCTGCACATATCCGCACACAGCCTGTAGCGACTCTCAGGGCCTGTGTAGTTGGGCAGATTGCTGTATCCACTGCACTACTTTGGATGACGACAATTTTGTGGCCTAATACGTGCCTGTTCGCATGGAACAAAAGATTGTGCATTTAAGTCATTCAGAGAGTTTGGCCCATCATCTTCAAGAAGTCTCAGCGATCAATCATGAAGACCGGTTGTTCCTTGGAACACTTGCCACACCCTACATGGTCAGATAATGCTTTATTGTTGAACATCTGTCTTCTAGATTCATCCATCCCTACTGGTGGTTCAGTTATCTCAGGAGCTACTTAGATTGGATTCCTCTGTTTCCAAAAATGTCAACGTTTCTACCAAATATGTTCATGACTGCTTCATCAATCATACCTATCACAAATCTCCTGTCACAATCTTCCCCCTGGCTTCGTTGTTACCCTACTTTTCATTGATCCTTGTTGTGTTGATTTATGCCATATCTTTGTCGAACCAACCTCCGATGACCCTGCCTGGTTTGACTATCTCTCCTGTGCCAGCATCGTTGATTCTTCCTCATATTGTTCCCTCTGGCCTTCTAGTCTTTGTTGTCGTTGAAAAAACTGAAATTTGTTTAAGCCATAAAATGGACCGTATTGCCATTTTCCCAACGCAGCAATGTAGCTAAGAGTTATTTTCCATTTATGGTCAGGCCCATAGTTGACCAACCTCCTGTATTTTCAACTATTTTTGTTTTATATATGTTTCTATGGAGTCTTACAATTGTTTATTTGGCCTTGAAAAGCTCCAAAAAGGCCTTAAATTTGATGGCTGATAATCTGTACAAACCCTTTTGTCTGATATTACATAGGCCGGACTTGGCTACTACAAAGCATTGCACAAGGATCCCCTCATATGGATTCGTCGATCCCTCCTTGTCCTACCCTACTGGATTTGTGGGATCAAAGATATCAGGATCTGCAAATGGCCTTACAACGCTTTGACTTTCAGACGTTTCCCCTTGACAATGATACGGTGTTAAATCATGAAACTCAGGATTACCCAATCCCTGGGAAGTTCATTAAAGTATAGCTAAGCATTTTTCAGAAGTTTTTCATCACAAGTTTGTTATACTGATGCCTAGGATTTCTGAAGTTTAAACTGACCAGGTCATCTCATGGTTGTCGACTGTTTCCGACTACACAGCAGAGAATGACTACAGTTTGGAGTCACATGGTCAACCAAGAGCAAGATGCATGCTTTGAAGGGACTTCTTTTGACTGCCTACAGCAATAGCATGATAAAACAAGAACCTAGAAAGTTTTGTCATGGTCATTTCCCCTCCAGTATAAAGAACTTTGAAAAGTGCACTACATGATGTAGGATATGTACTGTAAATCATGAAATTAATGCGAAAAATGCGTCTGTACTCTTCTCGCATTATTATAATGACACATTTCAGTCTGACCATGTCTGCTTTTGAAAACTTAATGAAAGACAGAAACAGTAATTCTCTTGTCGTCTTTATTGTATTCAGGTCAGCATTCATCTTAACAATACAGAATATAACAACAATTTACACATCTCTCATAAAATTAAATGACAAATGAGCACTAATTTCCATGACTATAACTGATATCCATTAAACATATTCATTGGCAAATTATGCAACAATAGCGGAAATGTTGACACTACACATTACACCAATATAGGTCACTTCCTCATTACAGGTATCTCAAGTTACATGTAATTATGACTGGTTACAATCACTGGTCATTGTTTAAAGTCACTCAAGCACATGAGCCAGACCGGACATTCTCCAACCATGCAGGATCATTTCGCGTTCTTTGTTCACCTTTGAAATCAAAAGTCTTTCAAGTCGGATTACATTTATAAATGTTGTCATAAGACAAGTAGTAGCAAGCAATCACGTGATCAAACATGGCAGCGTAATCTAAACATCGTCAGCTCATTTCCATTCATTGCTTAACAAGATCAATTCAGGTTATTTGGTAAATAACAAGTGTGAAAAGAAAATTAACAACATCAAATATTCAGGGTGTGACATTTTATCATCAACAGAGATTCCTGAGGTTGCATTAATTTCGTGACGCATTTTAGACAAGACCCTAGCACTCGCATTAAATTCGTGATGCATTAATTTCATGGTTTACTGTAATCTTAATATACAGTATATGGCGATATTTCCAAGTTTCTCCCTGGAACAAATAGAAACTTGGAAATGAAGGCTTCCCTTTGAATACTTTCAAGTGGAAATATTAACTCAAAGGTTCCTGTTCTTTGAAAGGTTGTTAAAAAATATGGGTACTTTTAAATGGGTATTTTTCAAGAGGAAATTGTGTATGCTTTATTTGTTAATTTATGTTAGGGGTCTTTGTGTATTATTTAGTTGAGAACATAACATCTAAACTTTATGAATAATATATTTTCAAAGAAAACCTTACTACGATTGCAAGTTTTTTATGTTAGAGTGCAGGCTGTATTACAATGGCTGGGCGACAGTGGTCAACAGGCTGTCCAAAAGAATGCAGGAGGAGGTAATGATTCCGGAAGAGAAGCAGGTGGATACATGTGGCTCAGCACTCTGCCTAACCCAGCACCAGCTCATGTTCACTGTATTGCTGCAGTCTTGTGGCAGAGCCAAGAACTCCAAGTACAGTATGGCTTGGCTGACATCATCACAATAGACCTGGTCAGGTCAGTAGTCGCCTGATAGAATGTCTTTGGAAAGTATTTGTTAACCTATCTGTGATATGCAACCTGTATGGCAAAGTTGTAGTGGTACAGATCATGTACGTAAGAGGCATGTACTGTTGTCATCAACCACATAAAACTACAACTTGGTTAAAGGGCTGAAACCAGTGGTAATGTTGTAGTACGGGGATTACTGTATACAGTCGAGCACCGTTGTCTCGAACTCTGATAACTCGATATCTCGGTTGTCTCGATATAACATCTTGGTCCCAGCAAAATCCTTCATGATTGATCATTATTCAAGCTCGATACGGATGTCTTGATATTTCGGTTATCTCGATATAATCTCATGGTCCCAACAAGCAAAATTACCCTTTTAACTTGATATTTGCAAAGAAACTTGATATTCACCTACCTTTCATGGGCAAGTATCCCTGTGAACTGAGGTTGTTTCCAAACGATTGCACACAGTGCGGCATGAATCAAAGGGATGTGGTAGTGTAAACTAATTAGGGCTAATTGAGTTGAAGGTGTCACTTGTTTGTTATTTAATTAGGATTAGCTAAGAAGGAATTAATGAAGAAGTACTCACTGTTACGACTAAACACTACAGATAACGGATTATAGTTTCGAATCAAAACATACTGAGAATAGTGAAATGTGATGATATGCCCAGGTCGGATGTCTCGAAGTTTGGATAACTCGATATTTTTTATTGGTCCCATGAATATCGTGACAACGGTGATCGACTGTATTTGTATTGTGATACTAATAAGCAAAGCACTTCCATTTATTACCAGATATTCAACATGTGACATTTCCCACGATCTGGCTATTTTAGTTGTGAAAACACATTTACATCAAAATACAATGGATATGTCTTTTAATCGGTCAAAGTATGGCATTTGAGATACATGTATCTATTCTCTGTCAATAAGGATGGTTTCAACAGTGACTTGGTGCGAGCAATTGAGAAGTTCACAAAAAATTTCATCAACATTGAACTATATCAATGAAAATTTGAATGAAAAAAATATAATAGAGTACAAACATTAGTCCAGATGAACACTTTTCATTGACAAGTAGTTTGTTGAGGGTTTTTACTTAGGTACTTCAGTATGAATTTGTAATCAATTTCTGATGTTACATTCTCATGGTGCTGGGGTTGGGGGAAAGAAAATGCATTGTATGCATGTATTACTGGTATGTACACACTTCTCCACAGGCTGTAATTGTTGGGGAAAATAGAAAATAAGTAGTTTAGTGACACCTGTAAGCATGGCAAAACATGAGGATGTGGTGGAAATCATGAATATGTCTGATGCTCCTTCTCTTTAGTTTGGTTACCTTTTAGGCTTGAAAATATGTATTTAACTGATTTCAGTATTTTTAACTATTTGTTATGGTGTATTGAGATACCAGAGGTATAATCAGTCATTCATTTTCAGAAGAAGTCCTCCTTGGGGTACATATAAGCATTAAAATGTCCATTTTAGAAATATATGACAGTTGTAAAAATATTTAAATAAAATTATTTACAAAACAAAAAACTTGTTTTTGTGTTGTAAGACCACCCCCACAGTGACCCTGAAGGCCCCCTACAGCCAAGAGCAGGTAACTCTCGCCATCTACCTCGTACCTCACTTTTCATGCTGTCGTTCATACTGAAAGACGTGTGTGGTGTTCACTGAAGTGAATTCTTCACAATCTACAAGATGAGTGAAAAAGGGTGAACTACTGTATGTATGGTTCCTTTCTTTACATACAGGCATTAGATGGAATTCACATATTGATATTTTTATTCATAATTTGTTGCAACTTGTCCGAGGGTTTCGCTGTTTTCCAGCAATGTGGCAAGAAAAATGGCGGCCTGTGCAGTCTTTGTTCCTTCCTACATGTTATGTTAGCTTGTAGTAGGGAGTTATGCTTGCATATTATGTCATAGGCTTGCCTTAATTCCCTCTTTTTTAGTGAATTTGTGTAAGTCATGGCTGGGTAATTTTGTTAAGGTGTTCGTTTTGTATCACACTCAATTTACTCATCCCTATATATAAGGTTTCATCTTTGCCTTTTTTCTGCTTTACATTACGTGTTTTGTATTTAAATGGCTTTAGCCGGAGGTCCTCCCAACCCGAGCCTCGGCTCTGGTGTGGGACAATCCTCAAGGGGGGGTGCCTAACCCGAGTCTTGGCTTGGGGGACGGCCTCCACACAGCTACTGTCTCCGGCCCGAGCTCCAGCTCCGGTATTCGGCTTGGCTCCGGCAACACAGGTTCTGTCCTAGTGTCTGTCGGTGCCGTTGTCAAGGGCCAGAATCTCCCCCTTTTGAAATAAGAACAAGGGTTTGAAACAAGTAGCCTTTAAAGTTGATTCAAGGATGGGGAAAGTTTGGCCAAGGACAAACTTTCCCCGGGGAAGATTAAGCCTAGGGGGGTAAAGTTTGGCCTAGGCTAAAGTTCCGCACGGAGAGCAGAAGGTCGCGGGTTCGATCCCCGACCGCGTCATACCAAAAGACGTTAAAACATGGTACTTGTTGGTCCCTGCCGGGCGCTCGGCATTAATGGGTACAACAAGGACTGGTCGGCTCGTAGTCTGTATAATGTGTCTGAGTGGGGTATTCATGCTTCACTGCGGCATGGTATCTCAGTGGGCTAGCACTATAAAAAACAGCTTCAGTCTGGGCTAGTACAAGCAGCCGCACATACACATACACACGCATGCACATCGTCATATGAGCGAAATATTCTCGAGCACGACGTTAAACCCAATCTCATCTCCCCTCACCTCACCTAGGCTACAGCCTTTTCAGAGGAGAAAGCGGAGGCGCCCCGTGCAGAGGTCCAGTCTTTACTGGACAAGGCAGCCATCTAGATGGCTCCGATGGGACAGAAAGCAGTGGGATTTTATTCCACTTATTTCCTGGTCACCAAAAAGGAATGGTTCTGACCTATTCTAAATCTCAAAGGACTGAACAACATGATAGAGGTACCGACCTTCAAGATGGAGACACTGCGCTCAGTGAACTCATCTGTAGAGGCAGGGGATTGGCTCACATCAATCGACCTCAAGGACGCGTACCTTCATGTCCCGATGCACCCTGAGTACAGGAAATACCCCAGGTAGTCCTTCGACGGAAAGTGCTATCAGTTTTGAGTACTCACCTTCGGCATCTCCACGGTGCCGAGGGTGTTCACCAAACTAATGTTGATGCAGGCGCAAATAGCCAGGTCTCAGGGCAGGTGTTGTCACCTGTACCTGGACAACTGGTTACTCCGAGCGCTTGCCACTCACTTTCAGTGATGAGTATTCTCACAAGATAGGTTGGGTTTAAATTCTAAGAATGAAGATGTTGTTACCTCTGTTCCTCTGCTGATCTCTTTTCTACGGATTTAGTCGTAATATTGGATTTTTTGCAGTCTAGGTTAGAGGCCGGTCTCACCACGTCTACTATCCGAGGCTACTCCACGGCTATCTCTGCCTTTCACATGCCTACCGACAGGGTTGTCTTAGGACAGCACTATCTGGTGCAGCACTTTTTAGCAGGCATGGACAGAATCCGTCCGATTTTCTGGCGGATTGGTCCCCTGTGGGACTTGTCAGTCGCTCTTGATTGGATGTCCGGTCTTCTCTTTTTTGATCTATCGGCTCTCTCCCTCCAGCTGTTAAGTTGGAAGGCAGCCAATGCTGAGCTGACCATAAGGATAGGGTCAGCATTCGCTTGCCAGACTCTTATCGTCCTAAGATCGCAGGCTCCTTTCAGGTAACGGTGCCTATTGAGCTCCCAGCTTTCACAAAGCCTCCATCGTCCAGTACCTCGCTTTGACGTGCTCAAGTCTTTGATATCCGTAAGACTCTCAAGGCTCAAATGATCTGTAGGGATGTTTTGCTGTTATGGCGATGGTAAGGCAGGTCTGCAGGCGAACAAGCAGACCATATCTAGGTGCCATTTGTATGGGCTACATTCATAAACTCCACACGAAGGTTTGAAAGCTCATTCGGTTAGGGCAGTGGCCACTTAGATGGTGTATGCCATGGCCCTGCCCATTAAGGAGATCTGCTCTGCGGCTATCTGTCTGGAGCTGACTGAGTATGTTCATCCGCCATTATAAACTGGACAAACACTCAGATGAGTGTACTCGGTTTGGCTAGTCAGTTCTCCACAGTGGACAGAGTCGTAACTCTCTAGCTGAGTGAGCTTTCGAGATTACGTAATTTGCATTTACTGGTGTTGGTTTTTATCATCCTTCCAATCCTATCGGTGGTGGTAATTTACCATGTGTGTTTTTTTAAAGTTTTCCCTACCATTTATTCCTCTCGCCACGCTTCGCTGGTTGGGATATTATGTACGGGTTTATAATAAAATTAGCCAATCGACATGTGAGCTTAGGCGTTCTATTCCCCGCCCAAGCCACTCCCCCGCCTGATTGACATCAGCGGTCAGGTGACTGGGTAAGTGTGTTTTTCTATCACCTTTTCGGTTGTAGATTTCACTTTAACACTGGTTTAGGTGTTTCCAGACAGAATGCCACTCCCAACTCACAGTCTTTGGGAGTCTGTCCAAGGAGGACTTCTTCTGAAAAAGAATCGTACAAACCTGTAGAGGTTACTGATTCTTTGAAGAAAGTCCTCCTTGGGGTACGGCCACCCGTCTCCCCGTCTCCCCACATTCTGTCTGATACGTTCAGCATGAAAAGTGAGGTTTGAGGTAGACGGCGCGAGTTACCTGCTCTTGGCTGTAGGGGGCCCTCAGGGGTCCTGTAGGGGTGGTCTTACAAGACAAAAACTGTTGTAGATTTTTAAAATGGACATTTTAATGCTTAATTGTAACCCAAGGAGGACTGTCTTCAATGAATCAGTAACTTCTACAGGTTTGTGTACGAGATTTGTGATACTTATTGCATTGCAAGTTGTCAGGCTACACTCACAAATCACTAAATTTTCAGTGAACCTCACCCTATCCCCACCTCGTTCTCCATCCCACACTGACCACCTCAGGTTATCCTTCTCTTTTCTAGGAGTTCAGTTCACCATGACTTAAATTATTGCAGTAAATGAGTTTCCCCCCCCAGTTATTTATGGATATCAGTGGAGTTATAATTGTTGAGATAATTGTTGCTTTCTCTGTTGACAGCTGTTTATATGAATGGTCTACAATGCTGTCATCTGACTCGCTGCTGAAGAAGTCACTCGACTATGTTCTGTGTGCTGCCTGCCACATCCAGCCAGAGTTTTTTTACAATGATACTTGAGTGGATGGGAATAATTATCAATTTTGATCACAGCATGAATGCATCTATATCAGATGACTGCAAAGACAGTTTTCAGTTTCATCAAGGGACAATGACAGATGATTCAAAAGAAGCCAGTCATGTGCCGCCAAGACCTGCAAACTCACCACCTATTACATTGCAAGAATTAAGTCACATGATGCTAGATGAATCAAGACTTGCCACTTTAGCCTTAGTTTGTAAGTCGCCAGTTGCCATCAAACAGCTCCTGGACTCTGGTTTCCCGGCAGTTCTAGCTCAGTGCTTGTATGAATTCTGTAAAAATGAATTTGTTAGGATGTCAGAGAACAATGATGCAAGCAGCAGCCGAAGTGGAACAAATGTTGTGTCAGAAGGAATCACTGTCATTAAAGAGGAGACACCAGACTTAGCTGAAACAGGTGAGGTTACCTTCTTTGCTCACCTGATTACACTTAATCTGCGAAAATTAGGCTTTTCTACTTCTTTTACGAAAAATCAATAAAGTGGATAAAATTTCACAGGGAAGTGTTTTATAACGCACAGGTGCATGGGGTGCAGAAATGCACTTAGCATCGCACTCATTCCAATTAACTCGCAAGGAATTAAAGTATTTTGAGTCACATGACCAACAATTTTCGATGTATGGAGCTTCATACTGATTCGTCACATGTGTTTCTGTCTGGAATCTTCCTTTCGTGAAAACGTGTACCATTTTGAAGCGATCGGCAGACAAGGACTACACTTTTTAGGTCCAAATTACACTTTTTGACCTCAAGTATTACACTTAGGTCCAAAATAGGGTTGGCATCTCTGCATGCCGTGCCCGGAGTTCGAAAACCGTTCGATCAGCTGTTTTTGTGTTCACTTTGGACAGATTTATTTTACCAACTTTCACTGCTTTATTTAAGCTATTTTATACATTGAGTGGTTTGCACACTCACCTTAAACATAATTAACCATTTTTATAGCAGTTTTAAGCTTGTCAGAATATGTTTCACTGATTATATAAATCCAGTCGAGAGGCAGACGCCATTTGGTTTACATGTCATATAGTCAGTCGCGAATTTTACCATAAAATAAAATGATGTTTTGTACATTTAACATTTAGCGGTTTGATAAATACGTTGTATGCTTCTGCCTCGGGTAATACGGTCTGATGTACACCTCTTTGTAGCAGTGTCATCCCTCGCTTACTGGCTCGAGTGACACTGCTACAAAGAGATTACTCGAGCCGGTAGGCGAGGGATGACACTGCTACAAAGTGGCGTACATCAGACCGTATTACCCTCGCGAGAAGCATACAACTTACACTATATCAATAGTTATTATTAGTGTCAGAATATGAGCTGCATTATCCATACCCATCAGCTTTAGTCTTTTTGCACTATATCCAAATTCATCAATTGATGTACTTGTCTGCTGGGAACAAATATGCATCAGACCAGTTTTCAATGAATGAAACAAATGCTTCTTCAATAAAGCATTAAGTTTTGTTTATATTTCAGACAAATCATGGTCACTGAATGGGCAACTGGTTGCTGCGATATTGGAATTCTTTGCTGAAGTGAGCTCAGAAACATTGATGAAGGACTGGGTTGGGAGCCAAGAGGGCAGTGTGTTTTGGACGATGCTACTCACCATGCTGTGCACTACATACTCACAAACAGCTCATCCTGGGGCGCATCCTCCACAAATACAACTGAAGGTATGATGAAGTCCATTCTCTCATTAGTATTACAATACATACTTGAAATTGTCTTCATAGATATCAAGGATTGTAGTTTGTAAAAACATAAAATCTTCATTTTTGACTTTGAACCTGTTACACCAACGAAACTGGAAACAATTTTAACTATGAAGTATGAAAATGTAAAATATTGTCTGCTTTAGTGCAATATCCCCATAATGCTGAGTTATTTTTTCTGATGCATGTTTTTCTAAGACCTGAACTGTTGTGCAAGAATTGTGCTTGCGCAGCACTTAAACTATCCACGGCTGTAAAATTACAATAAAATGTAGAATATCAAATTTCCTATCCTTATGGTGTAAATTCAAGTGCAAATACTTGAGTGGTTTGAACGTTTTGCATTCTTTAATAAACAGTCAATTCCTCTGCTTTTTATCATACACTGAAAAAAAGCACTATTTGGCATCTACGGAAAGTGTGAGCGAAAAAACATCTGAATGACAGAGAAATATATCAGATAGATTGTTTGCTTACTGACAAAATGACACAATTTTAGTTGATGTCATTGCTTGTTTTATTTGTTTTGCAATGTCAGTGAAAGATGACATTGGTATTTTGATTAGGATATATCTCACTAATTCCTGTTAATTATATAAAAAGTAAAAAGTCTCTATTTCTCTGTCAGAATTTGACACTCTTTCAACAAAACGTGAAATGACTGTTGATTTTACAATTTAGACAATGTCTTGTACAGATAAACAGTTAGACTGTGTATCTTAATGTGGACAACCCATGCACCTGTTTGGCATCAATTTGACGTAAATGAAAAAGAATGTTTCAAAACAGACGAATATATATTTTTAGGAGAGGACTTCTTTTTTTGTTCATGATGATGTGGCTACTTCACTTCTTAAGTATACAATGAAAGATATATAAAATAGGACCTTTTGTGTGGAACCATCAGAATAATGCTCTAAGATTTGGCCAAAGGAAGAATGGTATGGTGTTTTTTGTTTTTACAATTCATGTACAAATATAGGTATAGTTTGATATCCTGTCATCACAATGTTATATTTTTTTTCAGACATAAATTGATTAAATATATTATCAAAAACAATGCGAGAGAATCTTGTGGACGTTTGTGACAAACACGCCCCTGGCCAATCATTATACATCACTGTTCTATTCATAAAATGACACAAACAAATGCAATGACCAAGATTATTCCTTTAAAAAATGTGTACTATATGCATGTACTCAGCGTCATTAATGAGGGGTCAAGGTATTGGTAACACTATTTCTTAAAAGTTCTTCGTTTTTGTTTGAAATATATACAACTGAATGTTTTACAAACGTTCTTAACTGTATGGAAAAACACATACTGTTGAAATGTCATTATTATGTTCTTTAATATCTGATACATTCTGTCTCAAATGGCACATTTTTTATTCTAATTGTCAATATGGAAATCCACCTGCCACGTTTAAGGGTAGCCGAACTCCGCTGTAGGCTGACCTGCAGTTAGTCCAGTTCTAACACCACGTCACAGGCAGGTGCGTTTGAGATGGAGTAGATATCACGATCGCTGGAATCAACGTCAATGGTCTCATGTACTCTTCACAGATGAAAGCAGAATCATCCTGCCATCATGGTCGGCAGAGGATTTATCATCGCAATGGAGAGCGAATCACAGATGCAACTGTGGCCACACATAACCAATTTGGTGGTGTGTGTGTGTGTGTCTGTCTGTCTGTCTGTCTTTCTGTCTGTCCGTCTGATAGTTTGGGCAGAGATAACTCGCTAATCTTACCGGACAGTGTTATTGGGACGAGATTCTGGCTCCTATAGGAGTACCATTCCTGCAAGCTATGCATGGCTTTTATGGTCGACCCTCTTTACTGCAAGACCTAGACCTCATAGGCCTTAGGCAGCAGGGTGTAGGGCGAGTGAAGTGGCCAGCTTGCTCGCCAGACCTCAACCCAATGGAGTATACCTGGGATGAACTTGGTCCACGTGTGTACACACGTCACCCAGCACCAGTGGATCTCCCAGGACGCCGCAGAGCTCTAGTAGAGGAATGGAATGTGATTCTGCAAGCTTTCTTTATGAACTTGACAAGGAGCATGAGAGGAGGGTACACAAGATATTGAATGACCGAGTGCTTCATGTTTGTCATTTTCATTTAGGGGGGTTGGTCTATACAACTGATGTTTGCTAGTGCTGTTTGAACTTTGCATGTTAGACTATGTCATGATGTGTCACTTTTGTCAACACATTAAACATTATAATGACACTCTTAGTTCTATTACTTCTCAGAAACTGTTCTTTACATGTGCTATATATCATTTGACCCTTTATTAATGATTCCTAGTATATATGGTATACCATTTTCTAAGATGAATATTTCCAGTTTTACAAGGTTGAATTTATTGCTTTTAAATATAAAAACTTTCAAAGGATAAAAAAAGCTAAGTTCCAAGGATGATATGATATTGTTGATAATTAAATAAGTAATGCAAAAACATATCAAAGAATACAAATATACCTTAAAATACTGAATTTTTATTCCCCACAGCGTGTTTAGCTCGAAGCGGGGGATATAGTATTAGGCTCCGTCCGTACATACGAATTGGAATACATTAAGAACCGTTGTCTAGATTCTTTTCATATTTGGTACCTAGGTTCATCACAGTATAAGAAAGGTGAACTTGACCTTCATTTCAAGGTCACAAGGGGACTTTAACGTTTTACCTGCATGTTAAGCTATCTCAAGTACCGTTCACTGGATTTTCTTCATATTCAATATGAAGCTTTATCAAGGGAAGGCACAGGGCCCAGTGGATTTTGGTGACCTTCATATAATTTTCAAGGTCATGGCAAAACTTTGAAGATTTCAGCATGTTATCCTGCATGTTAAGCTATCTCAAGAACCGTTCCCTGGATTTTCTTCATATTCAACTCCAAGCTTTATCTTGAGAAGGCACAGGACCCAGTCAATTTTGGTGACCTTTACTTAATTTTCAAGGTCACAGAGACACTTTGAAGATTTCAGCATATTAACCTGCATGTTATGCTTGTCGGCGATATACCTCAAGAACCATTCACTGGAGTTTCTTCATATTTGACTCCAAGCTTCATCTAGGGAAGGTGCAGGGCCCAGTTGATTTTGGTGACCTTCACTTTATTATCAAGGTCACAGAGACACTTTGAAGATTGCAGCATGTTAACCTCAATTGTCAGCAAGATATTTCAAGAACGGTTCACTGGATTTTCTTCATAGACTTTCAAGACTTCCCTTAAATGTTATTCAATAAGCAATTTCTTTAGTACTATTTTTGCATAATTCATACACTATGACATTCATGTCAAGGTCAAAGTCAGTCTTGAAAATATGTGTGTGTTTGAACAACTAAAGAGCAAGATATCAAGACTGACTGGTCATGTTTTTGTTGACATTTACCTTCATCTTAAACTTTTATTACTTTGTAAGTTTGATTTGATAATTTGCGGCGGGGGATTATGTCACCTTAGTGACAATGCTTGTTTGTATTCAGTTTACCGGTACTCTTTTTTAAGCAACGTTCTCCTCAAAGAAATTGCCATATATGTACTATAATGTTGACGCTTGACATCACTACCGATGAGCAGACATGATATAATATATGGGATGTAATCAGCGTCTCATGACTGGCTTTGGGGGTAGGTAGAGTAGCCTTGTGGTTAAAGCGTTCGCTCATCATGCTGAAGACCCGGGTTCGATTCCCCACATGGGTACAGTGTGTGAAGCCCATTTCTGGTGATATTGCTGGAATATTGCTAAAAGCGGCATAAAACCACACTCACTCACTTACTCATGACTGGCTTTTGTGAAAAATTATTTTGTGTCCAATATAGAGAAAAGCTCATATCAGTGTTTGTGCATTTTCCAAAACATCCCAACCTATTCTAGGTTTATAGGCGACATTTCAGAACTACTGTTGGTGATTTGATGAAAAACTAGTCAGTAATTAAATCCTCCAAATTATTATCCGATTTTTACATTTCAATAGACTCAAAGTAAATGCTGAAGAGGAGGTACATATATGTCTATCTGACATCTAGGGGGTTTAAGTGATGAATATGTGTCATGATATTTGCAGGTAATGACTGCAGAAGAACGGTCAGTTCTAGAGTCATCAGCGGTCCATTTCTTCACAAGAGTGATATCTTGTCACTCCATCAACCAGCTCTTTTTTTTGCCAAAGTATTGTGTGATGTCATCCGAGAACAGGGTCATGCAAGAACAGGTAACTTACACTTCTCATGTTGTATTTCAGAAAAACTTTCTAGTATCCTGTATTGGATTTGTAAACTCTCTCAGCTTGTGTGTCATGTTTGAAATTGTTTTGTTTATGGTCTTGTTGAAGTAAAGTTTTGACTTCTTCCAGGGGCAATAGTAAGTGCTGTACCACTTTCTGGCTTCACACGACGCATCTTACTGCAAGTGTTACTGGAAGATGAGCGAATCTTAGTGGCATTTCACTGTACCAGTGTTCAGTGCCGACTGCAGACTCTCACTTCAGGCAACCAGATTCATCATCCTCACTACGGTGCAGGTCGGAGCTACAGAACAGTCATGCTCAACATAAACACTTCAAGTGGAGACGCGCGCTCAACAAAGTTGCAGGTATTCATAACAACATCCTGATTACTGTACAAGTTATCAAACGTATTCAATGGGTTAGTGCAATGCATTTCATACCTGTGTTACAGATTCTTCATCTCATCAAGGCCTCAATTTTCTCTTTACTGTTTACATATTAAATTCCATGTGCCTGCTGATGGATCATGAGAATAACAATAGCAGTGTAAAGCCTCTGAAAAGCTGTGTAGAAAAATAACTATTTATGGCCATAACTCAGCCTTTTATGTTAAAAATGTAATGGAAGCAAAAGTTTGGAATGTTTCTGATTGTGGTTACATCATATGTTGTTCAGCTGCCATATAGCTGGAATATTGCTGAGTGTGGCGTAAAACTAAACTCACTCACTCACTCATATGTTGTTCAAATCATTAGAGTACAGTGTTAGTTTTTCTGCTGAAAATGTTTGATTCTCAACACTGAGAATACATGAATAGAATTTTTTCTTTGGTGACTTTATTTACAATTTTGACTGTTAGCTTTATATCCAGGTTATCTATAGTGCTTTGGTGCTCTTTAAAAAGCTCAATGTAAACAGTAATGATTTTATGGTTACATCTAAAGTACACCTCGTTACTTTGTTTGAAACTTGCAAAACTTGGACATTTTAGAGCTGATGTGTATCTCCTATATAAGCCTGGGAACATTTCTAAACATTTTGACGAGTCATGTCAATAGTCATGGATTTCCTCAGAGATGCCTGAAAATAGGTTTCTTTAACCCATAACCCAAGAAGCATTTTCTGTATACCAGTGACACTTGGTACATGTCATCCTTGGCATGCAGCCACAAAGTGATAAGTTTGTGACTGTCCTTCATACAAGGTTAAGGTCACAGTGAAGGCATGTGTATTTTCACTAAAATACCTTTCCCTGCAGACCCTTGTGCCAATCTCTTCTTTTGTCTCATGTGACTCTTGCTTTAATGGTCAACATTTACTTCCATATTGTTCATAAGGTGATAAAGCTGTTTTCTTGCATAAAGTTATTTTAAAGGCTGCTGGTTCAAACCTATACACACATGGGGTGTGGCAATGTTCTCAAAGCTGTTCTTTTGATGCAAAGCAAAGCAATATTCAAGTACATTCCAAGAAATATCACAAAATTGACTTAACGGTTCATCATGATTTTAAGCCACATTATAAAGTAGTATGATATGAAGACTCACGGCAAATATCACTGTGAAAATGACCCCCTCCCCACTCCCCTGACCCCATGCTGTGCACTTATTTGATGCTGACATCACCATGCTGTAGATTATATTTTCAGAAAATAACTAAACTTTGACATTTCTTATATGCTAAATCAAATGAATCTCTTTAGTCATCCAAATATGTAGTGAAAGGATTGTTGGACACTTTACTATAAGGCACATGTCTATTCTAGTAGTAAAGTCCAAGGTTAACCTTTGACATTGCCAGGCTCTTGTCAGGCACCCATAGCCTTTACAGTCCTGTCACTCATGGGCAGACATCTACACTGCTGAGGAGTAGCCAGTGGGAGACTAATTGGAAACCTATGAGATTGGGAAAGAAGTTGGGAAGTGCAATAATGACAAAGTTTATGGATAATAACTTTGTGAGTGCAATGTTTTGATACAGATTCTTGTACAACTGTTGTCAAGTAGGTTTAAATTATTGAATGCACATTTCTTTGTGATTATATTTTACTCATGGTAGAAAAGCATGTGTTGTTAACGATATTTAACAATATTAAATTGGTTTTGTATGCTGACACGTTTGGTACTATATTCCATGAGCGTTTATATGAACTATGTCGACTAATGTATCGCTGCATTTCAGATGCTCCTGTGCTGACAACTCCCTTCCTTGATATAAAGGATGAGAAGACAAAGAATAACAATAGTGACGAAAAGATAGACCCCAGTGAGTTAGGGCTTGAGATGCTGGAATACCTGTCTAATGCTGCAGGTACCTGGCTGATCAACACATAGAGTTCTTCGTGAACTGTTTGCTTGCAACTTTTGTTTGCTTTGTGATCATTTATTATAGATCAGCTGTTATGCATTATTTTGATTGGTTATCATGTGATAATGTAAAGTAATGCCAGAAATGCTTGGAAAATGCTCTTTGGCAATTAATTGATAATGGTTGATATTTCAGATACAAAACTCATATATAATCATTCATACCACCTCAACCTAAATATGGCATATGAGTAATCACCATGTACCATTCTCTAATCATAATGATTACTCGTAAAATATCGATAAACTTAGAAAAAAATCCATGGTAGAAACACTTCTAAGAAACAAACTATACTGTGACCCACCTGGCAGGCAGACAGGGTGACAGTGTTCATGTAACGCACGGGCAGTGCATGTCAGGGACCGTCTCAAAATATCAAGTGTCAGTATCACTGCTGGTCGAGGACAACTCGGCTGACGTTAAGGCCGTCCTGCAGATGGTATTCATCCTCGATTTTGAGAAAACGGTCTTCAGACTTTTTTGCCATATTTTTGGGGTAATTCTCCGAAAAGAAGCATACACAAGCTCTTTAACATCTGAAAGCTTGAATGTGGTATTATTGCGAGCAATAAACTTCGTACAGTTACCCTAGATCAGCTCGATGGGATTGAGCTCGCAGTGCCGTACTGGTGTATGCAGAAATATGTGACCTTGTTTTGCAGCTAGTTCGTCAATGATGTACTGGATTGGCTTTTTGTGCTGCCAGATTTTTTCCATGAGATGGGGCTTTGTTTCTGACTGCCTGTAAGGCACGTTACAAGAAGTGAGAAAATCCTGCAACTGAGCCTCGAGATTGCTCGTGGTGGGTGTGATGGTACCAGGGACACGCAGGTTATGGTAACTGGTTTTATCCAAAATGATAACGCTGGTTCGTACAGCTGCGGTAAAAGCTGATGTTCAAACCAATCCAAAAATACCTGCTCATTCATTTTGCTATGGTAATCACCATCAGATTTCATGGCCTCAAAAACAAAGTCACAACCGCCAATCAGTCCCTTGCTATGGGTACCAGCATGCAAGATGATCAGGCGTCTACCTTTGCCTGATGGTAACACTGGTGCCTTAGAACAATCTGAAGGAAGCCACAACCGATCGTTTGAGTGATTTTTATTACACCAGGTTTCATCAAGGTATATAATTTGAAACCCCAAATTGCGGTATTCTTTAACTGTTCTAAGATAAGCTGATCACGTGGACAGGATTGAGTACTTTTCTCTAAACACAGCTCTGTCATCTCCCCTTTTGGTGTACCTGAACCCCATTTCTACCAGAGCTACAACAAGTGTTGTTTTTGAGACATTTATTGTATCTTTGATCTCATCTTGTATTTTAACGCACGTCGGTGGGATTTTGTGTTCATACAGTTTATAAACTGCACGGCGTATGACACCCTTATCAAAGCTATCCAGTTTGTTTCCTGTTTGGCTTTGATTTTGACATGACCCCTGAGGTAACTGATTTGTTTACAACTTTGTAAACCTGACTACATGTATATGTCAAACTAAGGGCTTTACACATTCTATAGTAAACCCTGTCATAGCTGATGAGAGGTTTCACACTTTGTTTCTCCAGTATTAAATACCGGTATAAATTTGAAATTAATTGTTCTGCAGAGATATCAAGTCGCATGTTGCAAGTTCAGTGCTCATACACTAAGTGAAACTTCTATGGGTGAACAAGATTATCTATGCGATTTGAATTAAGACTTTTTGTGTAATTATTTTTAATATACCTACTACAAGAGTTCCATCTTTTTCACATATAGATGTTTAAAAAGCCCAAAACTTTTTACAATCATTTATGTAATTTAATTAGTTGAGGCTATATGAATAATTATAGTCTGTATTTCAAAACTACAGTTTGTACTTGAATATTTACGAATGTTGTTAAAACGTCCAAATATCCTCCTTTGAAGTCACCCCTCAAGTGCATTTCTTCATCTGAGCTTTAATATCCAACTAGGTAGAGTCATACATGTATCATATCTGTGCTTTTATCTTGTGTCAAATTCATCATATTGATATTGAAGCCAAAAAGCATTTTCCAAGCATTTCTGGTGTAACAGGCCAGAGTATACCCCTGTCCCAGACTATACCCCAGTTATAATCTGGGCTAGCCTAGTTTATGCCGTGGGGTATATTCTGGACTAGGCCATAGTATAACACCCCACATCCCCACATCCCCAGCCCTGATTATACCCCTACAGAAATCAAGTGATTAAGGATACTACTATAATTCACTTAATAAATATGTTTTTAAACAAACTAACAAAATACAATCAAATTAAACAGGTTCCTGTCCTCAAACAATAGCAATAACCATATATTATACTACATCTATATTACATTCCAAATCTCTTTTACTCTTTACTTATTTCCTATTTTTTACTGTTTTAATTCGCCCTCCCATTTAAGTTTCCCTTAATACTCAGTTTTTAATTTTTTTGGGGTAGTAACTCCACTCTTTCATAATTTCTATTTTGGGTTCCCCCTCATTTCTTAATAAATGTACTACCCCGTCGCTGAAATACCTTAGTTGTGAGTGTGACTCTATATAAAGCAAATAGCTAACTACTAACCTTGATGATATATCAGCATGGCTGGGTTACTCTAAAGTCGAAAATATCACATCGCAGAGAGGCACTCAACAAATACTTCATAAATTTTGTATTATGCAGTAATGTAAATGAAATGCACCTACAAATTTCTTTAAATGACACCAAGACCATTGCCCGGAGTCACGCACTCATATTGAGTGAAAAATTGTCAACATAATTTTTATAGTCTGGGCTGGAGGGGTATACTTTGGACTGGTCCAGAATATACCCCTTGGGGGTATATAGTTTAGCCTGGGGTATAATCTGGTGGGGGGTTATTCTGGACTGCTACACCGGCATTACTTTAGTCAAACACAAACAAACAACAATTCTTCTGCTGAGTGTGTTCCTTTTTAAAACATAATAATTAATGTCCATTCTTTTTGAAAGCATTCTTTGTTTCCACAACAGGTATTTCAGCTAAAGAGCGTCGAGAGAAAAGTCCATCTCCTACAAAGAGCGCACTTCCTCCTCGGCCTCCTACAAGAAGAGGACGACATACACTGGAGGATGTGTCATCTCAGCTCAAGTTTTCCATGTCTTCACTCCAGTTACATCACAAGATTCTCCCGAGTAACCACTTTCTTAGTTTTATGACTCCTTAAACGTTTTATTTAAAGTCTTTTTTATAAATTTCCTTCCCATTTCCGATAAAAATAAAAATTCTTACAAATTTGTCCCACTACCACTTAAATTCTTTGCTTCTTAAAACTTGTTTCGGAATCCACAGATTTATCTTGAATAAAAATATCTATAGTTTTCTATTGTCTTTCTTACTAGTGGTCTGCCAAGTGCTATCTGCAGGGGTTATCTGCCCTGACGGAAGTGGGAGCATCATAATAATTTTTATGTTTACTTGTTTTCGGAAAATATTTTATTAATCTTTTTTTTATAGTTTTGTTTGACTTCTTATCTGGTTATAATGGGTATTTCTAAGGGCTTTGAATAGATTTTGTAAAAAATGGCTCTTGCTCAGCCTTTAGGGAAATTAATGTCTCTTTAGGATCTGCATGGAGATTAGGCACGTAGCAAGCCAATTTCTTCGTGTAAGCCCGATTGGTTGCAAAGCTTTATATTTAGATAGTATTGAGGGCTTGACCAACTTTCATTTTTTCAATCATGTGTAAGCCGGGCCTTTTTTTATGATGGTAGCTACGCCCCTGGTGATTGTGTTGACATTCCTCTTGCTCCTTCGTCTCCTATTGTGATTCTTGTCAGCTTTTATCTCCATCAGATTCCAATAAGTATGCTTTGGTTGTTAGAAAAGGTCAAGAAAAAACATGACGAAGAAACTGCTTATAAAGACACCAGGCATGCCCCATCTGTCGACCCAACGTGTTGTTAAATCCAAGTTTGTTACTGAGGAAGCCTTATCAACAGCCTTTTAGAGATATGATAAAAGGCCTGGTGGATCAATTTCAGCACACTCTCATTGTTGATAATGTTCCAAATTTTCTAACGTGTAAGATTTAATTGCTGAATGTTTTATGTAGCACATGTATAAGAAACAAAAAAATCATTTATCTTACTTTGTTATGCTTTTTTTTTTCAGATAAGGCTCTGCCATCAGAGCTGACACTGTCTCAGTTGGTGCATCTTGTGGAACAGAGAGGAGAAGCTATGGCTTCATCTACCAGTTCATGCCTTCAACTTACCATGCGCCTACAGTCAGCCCGCTTACAACAGACACACACACGCATCTCAACGTCCCTGCAGGAACAAGGTAGGAATTTGATACTTGCAATCTATGCAGTGAATCAGTATTGTTGTCTTACTTTGAAACTGTTTTTATTGATATCTTTGTTATCTCACATGTAAATGATAACGGGAGGGTATCTGTGTAGGTCAGATGTTTATTCAAAATCTAATCAAATCAACAAATCCATGTGAAAATTATGAAAAGATATACTACATATCTGGTGTTTCCTTTGTAGGTATGCAAGTTTTCCTTTTCTGCACTTATCATTTGCTTAACCCTGAACTTAAGATATGGTGGAAACATTCTGTGTTACGTTCCCTTCTCACCCAAATGCCCTCCATGTGACCAGCTGGTGACAAGTCACTCTCTCCATTTTCACCCTACAGGATGGTTGGGGGAAAATGTTTGTTTTAATCCAAGCCATCCTATCAAAATTAATAACTTTAAAAAATATTTCGGCTGGATTTAGTGGTGGTTAGTTAGTGAATTTGTTTTGCTTTATCTTACTCAGAAATACTACAACCAAAGTTGTCATAAGCCTTAACTCACTTCTACTCAAACAAGAGAAATCATTTAACCACAAGACTTAATTCCAGACATTTATTCTGCGATCTTCCTGGTACCCAAGAAGAAAAGTTTCATTACATTTACAACATGAAGGAATTCAAAAAGAAAGACATTCAATAATCAGATGTTCAAGATGCTTCACCTTGTTCCAGAGTTGAAACAGCTGATAAAATCATCTAGCAAGCTTTGATTATTGGGGATATGCACTTACACATTGCCATTCATCAAGCATCCAGGAAGGTTGGACGGAGGGTCTTCCTTAGGACAGATATCAGTCAACTTATGTCAAGTCATATAAGACTCCCCACATCATCATAAGTGCTGTCAGTTCAAGGCAGATGGCCGCATTCAATTGCTGTCATGGCGACAGCACATAAAATTCCTTTTTTGACTTCATCTGAAAATGGACTGTTGTGGAACCTGCGTAAAATCGCATGCATGCAATCACTAAATCATCTAAACCAACGCCAAGATCCTGACAGACCAGACTGAGACTGAGATACTCCTTGCAGAGTTAGTTCCAGGATGACAAGCATGTCAGGGATGTGTCCTCATTTGTCCTCTCGGATGGATTCAAGCTTTCAGTAAATGTAGCTTTCATTAGTGCATGGTACTTACTCCATAGAATGCTATGAAAATACTCACGCCCTCACCGAGCAAACAGGAAAGATTGGTTTTCCGATCCCCCAATATGAGTGTCGGACAGATGGAACCTTATGAGGATAATTGTTTCTTTGAGTGGCATTTTAGAAGTTGGGAAGTACAATATAGAACAAACTTTATGGATAACAACTTCTTTTTATTCGTGAGTGCGACGTTTCGATACAGATTCTTGTACCGTTGTCAAGCATAATGGAACATGAAGAAGGGGGAAGTATATATATACTGGTTGTAACAACATAACAAAGAAAACAACATAATTAACATAATAGGCTAGGCAGAAAGCTGATGAAGCCAGAGAGTAGACAAAGGACAGGCGTGGAAGCCAATGATGTACAAATAATAATGAGATGTTTATACAGCAGAGTTTATACAGTAGATTGGGCTTGGTGGATGAGTGCAGCATAAGCGGATGGAATGAAGTATCCTTGGTCTCGGTTGATGGTGGGCTATTGGCGTTTGATGTGGATGGCTTGGTGAGCTTGCGTTTAGTGCAGTCCGTTTGTTTGTTAGAGAGAATGCTGATGTCAGACCACTCTATTTGATGATTGGGGCTTGCTTCGATGTGGTCGGAAATGGCTGACTTGCTGTCGGAACTGGTAACAGAGGTCTGGTGTTCTTTCACTCGGGTGTTGATGGGTCGGGACGTTTCGCCTATGTAGCTCTGCCCACAATCACAGTTTATTTTGTAGATGACACATTTTGGGTTGTTGTTCTTTACGGTGGCGGGTTTTCTTCCATTGGCATGGAGAATGTTGTTAAGGCTGGAGGACGCGGAGAAGATGGTATCTATGCCAGCTTGTTATTTTAGGAGACGGCTGATTTGATGTGACGGTGTGCCAATGTAGGGGATGGATATCTTGATGGGGGCTGAATCTGGTTTGGGTCTTTTGGTAGGAGGTGACAGGGTTGCAGCAATGGTTCTGTTGACTATTTGGGATGGAAAGTGGTTACGTTCTACGAAGACTTTCTTGAGGTGTTCGATTTCATCTTGTAGTTTAGTTGAACAGATGTTCTTGGACCTTCTGGTTAATGTGGAGATGATGGCGGTCTTAACTTTAGGTGGATGATTGGAGTTGTAGTGGATGTACTGATCCGTATGGGTAGGTTTTCTATATACAGTGGTCTGGAGTTGGTTGCAGGAGGTGCGGGACACAAGGACGTCAAGGAAAGGTAGCTGTTGGTTCTGCTCGGTTTCCATGGTAAACTTGATGCGGGGATGTTGGTTGTTGAGATGGGTCAGAAGCTGAGTTCCATTATGCTTGACAACGGTACAAGAATCTGTATCAAAACGTCGCACTCACGAATAAAAAGAAGTTGTTATCCATAAAGTTTGTTCTATAAAGGATAATTGTTGTTAATCACCGACTTGATAATCTCATCAAAAGATAGAAGATTGTTACATCATACCCTGCTCAGTAATAAACATGATAGGGAGAATGAAGACTTGAAAGATCATTTGTTGACTTTTCAGAAGTACAATGTTTTCACACAGAATCGGCAGTGTTCATTATGTCAGGACTTAATTATATACATCAGATATCACGGAGACCAACTTGCTCTGAGGCAACACTCTGATGGCACCATACATTCTACAGGGAGTTTGCTGGGGAACACAGTTCCTCTGAACTTGGCACACCACTTAGTCTACTATGCAATTTTCTCTGTATTATCACATTGTGTGTGTGGAGTTTTAACTACGTATTCAGCAGTTTCCATGTGTAGATCTGATTTGCAAATCGTGTGTCAACATTACTAACCAGTATGTGCTGGAATCAGTACAACCTCAGCTTACCTGAGTTGATTGATGCACCAGTATTTGCACCTACCGCCATAGCCATGAAAGTGAGATGCCCAGTGATCATAAAAGAGACTTCATTGTCGCTTTTAGATGACCGTACATATCACTGTTTAGATCATTTCACCACAGAAAAAATAATCATCATGATGATATTAGAATAGAAACGTGGCCGTCTCTGAATGGCCAAAGATTGTGTGCAGATGAAAGAAATGACACATCAACAACTAGAAATGGTGACACCCAGAGCATGGAATCCTTCACCCCATCAACGGAATTGAAGATAAACAGAAGAACTTTAGAGTTTCTACTCATGACTTGAGCATAATTCTGAAACATTTACCAGCATTAGAACAAGTCTAATCTAACAGATTCAGCAGCGATAAACATGCACTGGCTCATTTGAGTTTCAGTCTAAGTAAACTTAGGCTCAGTATTATTCGTTACACTGCTATACTGAGTCTAACAAAACCCTTGTGGAAGGTCGCTTCAGGTAACCTTTGAGCGACCTATGACCGACCAATAAAATGCGAGACAACTGAATGGATTTAACCAATCAGACAATAGCTATTATTTTCCCTTATCCAGACTCATGCTTATTTGCTTGTCTCCTTCCTCTTGCGAACGTTAGTGGAACACTTGTTCCTCCTATTGAAGCTCCCTTCAATAAAAACAGACATAAAATCACGACTCACCAAGAGTTATCCGTTGATCCGTTTTGGCGGGAAACTGTGGCGCCAAAGTTCCCACATGCTTCACTCTCTCCTTCTTTGCCCTAGTGAGCGGTTGGGAGAGGGCCTTGGTCTCCTATACGGCACTATATCCTTTCATTAATTAGTTATTACCCTCAATTTTACTTTTATAGAGGTTTAGGAAGTATCTTACAACAATATGGGTTAATATTATTCGTATTTTGCACTGTTTATTCACGGTTTGTCCGTGTTTGTTCAGTTGTTTACATTTCATGAAATGCTGTTTTCGTTGTAGATTCAGATTCTCTGCTGCAGACCCGCATCAACTGTGCCCTAGCTGCACTATGCCATGTACTTCCAGCTCGCGCTGCATTTATTGTCAGCATTTAACCAATTTTGCATTTAATAAATACATTCTTTGTGTACTTAGACGTGCTGCAGACAGGTCAAGACGGCTTTGTCAAGTCATGGATAAGCCGGCTGAGTCCCTCACGGGTCAACTAATGTCAAACGACCCTCTTCCTTCAAGTGATGCGCCAGGGATTTCCTCGGGGGACGGGCTTGGGACGTTGTCCGCCACCTCCAAGAAGAGGGCTGCCGCTCCGGACATCCCATCATCGCAGACTAAGAAAAAGAAGCCATCCTCTACGCAGAGAAGGCTACACCCCCCTAAGACGACGACCGACTCTACGGGGACGTCTGCGCAGACTACAAGAACTTTCTCGGCCGAGATTGTTCCGATGACGGAAAGAGGACTCTATGATGAGCCGCCGCTCATCATCCCCGAGATACATCACCGCAAGAAGCGGGCCTCAGCAACGGTAACATCAGCGCAGTTGTCTACGCAGTCCGAGGTATCTACACTGACGGCAGATGAGCGATCCCTGGGCCATATTGCTACCAACGCAGAGAGGGCAGCTCATCTCTCACCGCAGACATTCAACCCGGGGGAATTCATGCAGCAGTTCTCACAGCAGATCATGGAGATGATGGACAGGCGCCGCGCACTGGAAAGGGCATCGCATGATCAACAACCAGACCGCCAGAGCGGGCCAGGACCTTCCAGCGAAGGTTCCAACGCAGACGCGAGACGGAGGGCCCTCCAGCAACGTGGCGACTGGGAACAGATCTACGCTTCAGGGCGTCAACCAGCCTGCGCTGAAGGGTGACACGCCTATCCCCAGATGCCGAATCAGATGATCAGCATTCGCGAAGGCACTCGCGAAAGGTTTCGACACAGCCTCAAGGACATCTTCAACATCGCATAGATCGTCGAGGGATTCACCGAGGCATTCGCGAACCAAGAG